CACGTGTAGCCAAGAAAATCCTTTTTTGGGCAATGGCTATCAAGTGTACACTCTAAGCAATTTAAGGTATTTTTACTGTTGCTGGAAATAACATATCTGAAATTTAAAAACTAGAAACATACCCTGTTTCAAATAAGTTAATTTGAGCTAACTCTTCTTTGACCATGAGAAACAAGATTTGAGTTCCTCAACTACAGACAGCAAGTGACCCTGAGAGCACCTAAGTTAGAGATCAGTGGGCGGCATCCCTGCACGTGAGGTAAGAGCAGAGAGTCTCATCAGGGACCTGTGCTTCCCAGGGAGCACGTGCAAAACCTAGAGACAAACGTGGACGTCTTCTGAAAGGTGCTGGTGTGCCTAGCCAGAGGACACCTGATGTGATGGCTATTCTTGGTTAGCAACTTGGCTACATCTGGAATTTACTGAAACCCAAAATGGCTGAGTAGACTTGTGAGAGATTTTTGCTTAGTTAAAATCCACTTCTAATCTGGAACTTTGATGCGAGGTTTAATTCTGACCTTTTGAAGTGGGAAGACCCACCTGTAATCTGGGCCATGCCTTCTGCTGGAGCAGAAGGAAGGACATGGAAGAAGGAAGCTTTTGCTCTTTGCTGTCTGCTCTCACCCTGAATAGCAAGGCCATTCTTCCAGATTCCAGTGCGCACTGCAGACCAGCTGAGACATCCAGTCCTGTGGACTTAACAACTACTGGATTCCATTGTTGAATTAGCTGGACGACAGCCTGTAATCCATTTCATAAGTCCCCTTTACACACGCACACCCACACCCACATACACTGAGGTTACTGTTGAAGAGAGAGAGAGACATTCTGTAAGTTGTTACTCTAGAGAACCTGACATTCTGTGACGCACAGTGCAACCCTCCTCACCTCACAAAGAATGAACTGGTGTAAAATGCCAATCGTCCCTGGTACAAACGCTCTTTTAGGAAAACAGGACTAGCGTTTTTCCACTCGGGAGTCACAGGGCTGGACGGACAACCTGTACCAGTGAAGAGCAAAATCGTGCGGCGGGAGAGAAACAGCCTCATCCGCCAGCAACATCATTCTCTGGCTATAGACACTTCTTTCTGAAAGCTCCCATGGCTACTTCAACAATAGCCTCACTGTGTTTCCTTACCCAGGCACCTTGCAGGAAGTCATTTCAATTCTCTTTCATTCCAAAGACAATGTCATGTATGTAGTTGCCATGTGTCTCTATTGGTTACCCTTTTCAGTCAGTACTCATCCACTGAAACTACTCGTGAACAGAGTGAAACAACTAAAAATTACTCATGTTTAGCTATGTCTTCTTTTCTAGCCTCACACCTCGCTGTCATCCAAGGTAACCAATATCCTAATCTTGGGTTTTAGCATTCTTGCCGTTTTTAATGTGTATGTGAGTACGCACACACACACGTTGCCCAGAGGACAACCTCTGACGTCACTACTCAAGCACCATCCACTGTTTTGGTTTTGTTTTTTTGTTTGTTCGTTTTGTTGAAACAGGGCTTCTCTGTGTAGTTCCAGCTGTCCCGGAACTCACTCTGCAGACCAGACTGGTCTTGAACTCAGAGGTCTGCCTGCCTCTGCTGGGATTAAAGGTGTGTGCTACTACCTAGGCCACCTGTTTTTTATTTTTATTTTTTTAAATCCTCAGATACTGATTTTGTTACTTCATGTCCTTTGCATATGGACTCAGTGCTTACAGTTAACTGTAAAATAACAAGCAGGTTTTTAAGGCACGCATCACTAGCACCACAATTACTTTCACCAAGAACTGACAGGCTATAAACAGACAATTTGCCCAGCACTAAAACATGAGCTAATTTCATCTAAACCTATTAAAAAAAAAAAAAAAAGATTTTAATTTTTCGCCCACTGGGAAAAATTTTTCTTCCTGAATGAAATTATAAATCATAAATTATATTTCATTAAAGATATAAAGTACCTAACTGTAGACTGTAGCATACAGAGCAGTATTCAATCGATACTTTTATACAGCCTTTTAAAAGATGAAGTTGAAGAGTAACAATGTGTGCTGTGTTTACTGAGGGCTCTGGCTCTCACCAGCACTCAGTGTAAAGGGCTTTGGTGGCCAGTGTTGCTTCAATGCAATTATCAGGCTACTTTATTCATTTTCAGTGCTTTGATCAGAGGGTGTATATGCAGTAGACCTATGAAAATGTTGTTCATGCTTATCAGAATTACATCTGTCTACAGCAGGCTGTGGCTTTGAGACAGAACCCCTCTGTGTAGCCTGGCTGTCCTGGAGCTTGCTTTATAGAGCAGGCTGGCTTCGAGCTTCGAGCCATCTGTCTGCCTCCCGAGTGCTGAGATGAAAAGTGTTCGCACTACACCTGCCTCTCCACCGCCTGGATTACAAGTGCAAGGTGTCACCCCCAGGTTTCTATGTTTGGGAGCATGTGGAGTGTGCGCGCGCGCGCGCACACACACACACACACACACACACACACACACACACAAATAAATCTTAGTATCTATGGACATTTGTTATTATTATTAAAGCCTGGTCTTGGTCTGTACCTCAGGCCTCAAATTCATTATTAACTTCTGCTTTACCTGCCCAAGTGCTGGAATAGTGCAGAGGTGTGCCACCTCTCCTAGATGCTCATCTGATTTTTGAAGAGTCCCACAACCACACAATGATCAAAGAATTCTGTTCAAGAAAGATGCTGAGATAACTAGATATCAGATGGAAGAATAAACTAAAACTCTTATCTCGCATCATTTACAAAAATCCAAACTGAGCTAAGATAAAATAAAGGAGGCAGGATGTGCTAACACACACCTGCAACCCCAGCACCCGGGAGGTGGAGGCAGGCAGACCCCAGCTTGCTGACCAGTTAGTCTAACCTAATTCCAGGTTCAGTAGAGAAAAACAGGTCTCAAAGATAAGGTGGAATGAAACTGAAGAAGACACCTGACATCTGGTCTCAACACACAGGCACATGCAAACAAACACAAGCATACACACAAATACACATATATCTTCCTAATTGTCTGTTGGCAACAGAATCTTAGGTATGTCACTAAAAGTATAAACAACAAAAGAAAAAAGCTACCCCTCATCAAAATAATAAATGCGTATACATCAAAGGACACTATTAAGAAGGTGACAAGGGGCTGGAGAGATGGTTCAGTGGCTGTTCTACCAGAGGATCCTGGTTCAATTCCCAGCACCTACACAGCAGCTCATAACTGTTTGCAATTCCAGTTCTGGGGGATCTGACACCCTCACACAGACACACATGCAGGCAAAACACCAAAGTACATAAACTAAAATAATTTTTTTAAAAGTGAAAGGATAATCCTGGAGGATGCAAACAACATATGTTAATGGATTGGAATTCAGATTTAGTAATTCATACAGTTCATCAACACAGAGACAATTTAAAATGTGAAAAGAACTTGAATAGACATATTTCCAAACATTCAGGCATAACACACCTGTAATCCCAACAATATGAAGGATCAGGGCATTCAAGGCCAGCCTCAATGAACAACAAGCCTCTTGAGACCAGTCTACTTTACATCAGACTCTCAAAAACCCCAAAACATCAACATATAAAAATTATACAAAATAAGCCAGGTGTGGGGGTGCATGCCTTTAATTACAAGCATTTGGGGAGGCAGAGGCAGGAGGATCTCTGTGAGTTTGAGGCCAGTTTAGTCTACAGAGCAAATTCCAGGACAGCCAGCACAGAGAAACACTGTCTTAAAAACAAACAAACAAACAAAATTTATTTTTAATTACATGTATATGTGGGGTTGGGAGAAGGGAATGGGCACACATGTTTAGGTGCCTGCAAAGGCCAAAGGAAGGTGTCAGGTCCCATGGACCTGGAGATATAAGTGGCTGTAAACCACCCAATTCGGATGCTATAAACTAAACTTTGGTCCTCTTTCTTTGTTTTCATTAGACAGTGTCTCATTCTGTAGTCCTGGCTGCCCTCAAAGTATTTAGAATAGGCTGGTCTTGAAGTTATGTGCTCCACCCTTCTTTTGGCTATCATTTTCATGGAATATTTTTCCCATCCTTTTACTTTCCATTTTTTTGTCTATCTAAGATGAGACTTATACACGCAGCATGTTGATGAATTATGGGATTTTTTTACTCCAATTTGCCAGTCTCCAGCTTTAACTAGGAGACTTTAACCTATCCAGAATTAAGTTTCAATACTAGTAAGAAAGAACTCACCTATGACACTTAGCTATTTGTCTTCTCTATGTCATGTCTTTTTTCTTTACCTTTTTCACTGCCTTTTTGTTTACTTAATTTTGGCATACAGATTAATGGAATTTACCTCCTTCTCATAAGACTAGCGTTGGCTTTCCTTGTCAAGTGATCTCCCTTCCAAATAAACGTTTACTGATATTTCCTTCATGTATCTGTCTCACAATATTTAAAAGAAAGTATCAACTTTTTCTGGCCATAAAAGTAGTCTCATGTTGGGTTGGAAGTGGTGATACATGCCTTTAATCCCAGCATTTGGGAGGCAGAGACAGGAAGGCAGACCTCTGTAAGTTCAAGGCTACTCTGGTCTACTTAGTGAGTTGTAGGACAGCCAGAGCAAACAGTGAGACCTTGTCTCAAAGCAATCAAAAAAAAAAAAAAGAAAAAAAAAAAAGGAATCTCATGTTTTCCTGTACCAAATCACTTGCCCCTCAGAGACACACATATGCACACCCCACAAACTACTTATCATTCCATATGGAAAATTCATTGCTACTATTTTTACCTGCCTATATGTCCTCTGGGTCAGGCAGAGCCCTGGTCACTTACAAAGCGTCTCTTGATTACTGAAAAGTGAGAGGTGCCGGGTGGGGTGACACACTCCTGTAATCCTAGTACTTTCGAGGTAAAGACAGGAAGATCAGGAGTTCAAAGTCATCCTTATGTACATAGTAAATTCAAAGCCTTCCCGAGTGACAGGAGAGTCTGTCTCAAAGAACATTTTTAAAAGTGAGACGTGGCTTACATTGTAAGAACGGGGGTGCCGCTGTTTCCACTGTACCAGGAGCAGCTGGGCTACCACCAAGGTAGCAATGAGGATGAGGACCATTTCAGCGTGCATGGCTTCGTGGCCACGATGTTTGGCATGCATGCGTGCATGTTCGACCCTGGAAGGCAAGCAGATAGGGCGAGTCAATAGAGGGATGGTGTGCTGGTGAGGGAGCCGCGCTCCCTGCAGCAGCTTCCAGCCGCAGCTCAGAGCGCAGCCTGGATTTTATCTGTCTGTCTGTCTGTTTTGAGACAGGCTCTGCAAAGACCGGGCGGTCCCAGGGCTCACTCTGTAGGCCGGGCTGGCCTCGGACTCGGGGTCTGCCTGCCTCTGCCTCCTGAGGGCTGGAACTGAGGGTGTGTGCCACTGTGCCAACTGCAGGGTGCCCTGAACCCTAGGAGCTAAGACCCAGGCCTGGGGAAACGGACATGGACTGAAACAGAGGCTCCCCAGGTTCCAGCTACAAAGCACAGCTACGTCAGCGATAGATGATGCAGTGCTTGACCCCGTGGCAGAAAAAGAAGAAGCCTCTCTTGGGTCAGGAAGGAAATGCCCGGAGAGGCTTGTGTCATTTTAACCCCATTTCAGCCTGTCACTAGAAGGAGAAAGTAGAGGTTATAACCATAAAGCCTTAGGTAGACTCAGTATTTATCACACCGCTACCATTGTAAGCGTGCTGATTCTAGAGTAGTTTTTTTGGTTTGTTTGGTTTGGTTTGGTTTGGTTTTTTGAGACAAGGTTTCTCTGTGTAGCTCTGACTGTCCTGTAACTTGCTTTGTAGACCAGGCTGGCCTTGAACTCACAGAGGTCTGCCTGCCTCTACCTCCCAAGTGCTGGGATTAAAGGTGTCCACCACCATGCCCAGCAATGCTTGCTTTATTTATCATACCTCTTTGCCAGGGCTAAAGAGCTTAGTACTGAAGGCTAAAAACTGAACTGCTTCAAGTCTGTGCTAAGGCAACATGTCTTCATCATCAGTATCACATAAACAGCCTCTTCAAGGGCTCTGGAAGTTCAGTAAACAGACAACCAGACAGCACATCTGGAAACATTTTATTAATCTAAAGCTGGCATTTTCTGGTCTAGGTGTATAGGAAAGAGAGATGAGCTGGGCATAGCACACATCTTTAATCTCAACACTCTGGAAGTATAAGCTAGCCTTTCTAAAACATATATGTGAGATCTTGCTAAAAACATACATATATGTTTCACAATGAAACAAAAATGTACCTATCTACAGCTTTTTGTTTGTTTTGTTTCAAAGCACGGTTTCCCTGTGTAGCCTTGGCTGTCCTGGACTTGCTTTGTAGATCAGGCTGCTCTCAAACTCACACAGAACTCAAGAGAGAACTCTGCCTCCAGAGTCCTGAGATTAAAGGTGTGCACCACCATGCCCAGGCAGGTCCCAATCTTTTTGTTGTTGTTTTGTTTTTTGAGACAGGATTTCTCTGTGTAGAATTGGCTGTCCTGGACTCACTTTGTAGACCAGGCTAGCCTCAAACTCACAGAGATTCGCCTGCCTCTGTCTCCCAAGTGCTGGGATTACAGGCGTGCACGACCAAGCCCGCTGGGTCCTAATCTTTTAATCACTGTTCATGTAAAATAATGTGAACATCTTGTTGCTTTCTTCCATATATGATCCAACTAAAAACCTTCAGAATAAACAGTTACCACTTTTTGAAATCTGTGACGTAAGCACTCTGAAACCTCTTTACTGAAAAAAATCATGAAAATATTTGCTAATGCCTTTTGATTATAAAGCAAGATAGCTTTTATCACAGATAATTATGACGCTGATGACAATAATAGTCATCTTCAAAACAAGTACCACTGGACGCTTACCACATTGCAAGGCAAGGTTCTAAGAACTTCGCAGACATTAATCCTCATGCCTCTTTAAGGTGCAGATACTGTTAAGATTCTGTTTACAAATGGAGTGACCTGTAAGGCCTGGTGTTACTGGCCTCGCTACTTCAGAGGCAAGGACAGAAGGATGTCAAATTCCAGGCCTGTCTAGGCCATACAGTTAAGTTCAAGGTTAGCCTGGGCAACTTGATCAGATTCTGTTTCAAAATAACAAGTAAAAAGAGGGCTGGGATTACAGCTCAGTGAAAGACCACTGTTTAACATGTATGTGGCCTGGATTCAATCATTGGTATAGAAAAAGGAGGGGGGGGTAATAAACGAGGCAGTGAGAATTTAAATAAATTACCCCACATCATGTAGCTGGTAAATGGTAAAACTGGTTTCACCACAGGTACTTACTTAGTGCAAGTACCTACTTACTCTAGGACTGCTCAGAAGCGACCTGGATACTTGGAAAGAGTCCCAAAATACCTGTCCAACTGGTCATAAGACAATGCATCCCATAAACAGAGAGGGAAAAACGTCGTTACAAAATTAACTGGCTTAGCCTGTGGGACCCGAGCTGCCACACTTACCTCCATTGCTCCTCTGGGGAGAGGTGTGACATGTCAACCTGTAGAAAGACACCATCAGAAAAATCTGTCATTGACTTACAACTGTCCCCACCCAAAATTAGGAGCTCATACATTCATCAATATTTTCAAGGAATCAAAGGAGGCCTCCAAGCTCACAACCTCTCTGAAGCCTTTCCCACCACTCCTTCACACTGGTCTCTCCCTTCTCCGGCTGCTAGTTTGCCTCAGGTTTTATAACTGAGTGAATGGTGCACGGCTGATCTGCACATTCAAAGAGTAGGAGCTCTAACTCCCAGGGTTCTCACAGGATGATGGACTGTTGAAGCCTGCTCTTTGAGACATGGCTGCTGCCATCTCTGTCTTCAGCAATTCAGCTTCCATTTCCTTTCTAAGGTGAAATTCACTTCAATGTTTTTAAACCCTGAGCTTTGCTTCCCAGCATCAGTTATTCGTAGCTCACAGTAACAGAGCCTGTCCGAGGGCCGAGCTGACGCTGCATCTCAATGGTGTCATACTTATGCTTGGTCATCCACACACGTGGCGACTCTGGTTGCACTCTTGCTATCTATACACTTGGCTGCACGTGGGTTGCACACTGGAAGACCCCAACTCACCACACCTAGAACCAGCCAGCTTAGAGGTTAGCGGATAATACTTTACTTAGCCAAAAATGTAATACTGCTTTGTATGGCTAGACAAAATGTGTTACTACTCTCCCCAAGCCTTTTATTCAGTTTGGTCTATTTAGCCTACTGCAAGAACAGGTCAACGGGGCTGGAGAGATGGCTCAGCAGTTAAGAGCACTGGCTGCTCTTCCAAAGGTCCTGAGTTCAACTGCTAGCAACCACATGGTGGCTCATAGCCACCTATAATAAAATCTAGTGCCTTCTCCTGGTGTGTACACATACATGCAAGCAGGGTACCATATAAACAATAAATAAATCTAAAAAAAAAAAAAGAGAGAAAAAAAGAACAAGGCGATGTCAGTTAGGCACCTGAGTCCTTACAGTGACCCTGATCGATCAGCTTGGAAAAGGCACTCAAATAAATCATCAATTTCTAGCTGAGACCAGGTCTGAGTGGTTTGTGTGCATTTCTTGGGCTCTAACAGGACATATTTATTATATGATAAGGATAAGCTATAGAAGAATGAATACGTGGATTTTAACCCAATTTGGGTTGTTATATACCAGGGACAGTTTCTTGTTACAACTGAAATATTATCCAGAAATGAGAGGAATGTTCTTGGGAAAGGAAATTACATGAACAGGAAAGAGGGGAAAAACTGAACACTGCACAAATAATTAAGTATGATTAGGATAAAATATAAAGTTGGAGAATATATTGTCATATACTGACACACAAATGGCCACACAGGAGGAAGCTGAACATTTAGACTAGGGCAAGGTGATCTCTGGCTCCTGCTCTTAGAAGAACATGGCCTTCTAAACTGAGAGCTTTGGTTCTACCTAGGGTCTCTCAAACACAGCACTACTGATATTTGGGGTTGGTTTTTATTTGCTGAGGGAAGGAGTGTGCCCTATATATAATCAGTGGAACCCAGAAAGACCATGTACAGACACTGCCCAATGTCCAGGAAACAAATGCTGCTCCTGTCAGAAGCCTCTGTTCTGGAATATTTACATCCTTGGCACTTGCAGCCATCAGCAGCTGCTTTAGAGACATACAGAACCAAGCTGGAACTCTACCACACCGGAAAACAACAGTTTGGAGCAAATCGGGCTGAAAAGGAGACAAGAGCTTAAAACACACCTGTCATCAAAGGAGATAAGAGCTTAGAAACACATCTTTAATCCCAGCACTCAGGAGGCATAGTTTGAGTTTGAGGACCCGCTGGTCTACAGAGTGAGTTCAGGACAGCCATAGCTACACAGAGAAACCCTGTCAGAAGGAAGGGAGAACACTCACATGAATAAATAAAAAAAATCCTCCTTTATTCCCAGTGGAGGACGGGAAGTAAGCACAAAGCCCCACACTTAGCTGAGGAACACTGGCCTGTGATTGCTTCTGGGAGTGAAATCAATTTTCAGTGGTATGACACTCAGGGGAGTGCCTCAGCCACAGGAGTAACACAAACTGGACCAAATGGACTTCTTTTTTTTTTTTTTTTTTGATACAGGGTTTCTCTATGTAGCTTGGCTGTCCTGGACTCACTCTGTAGACGAGACTGGCCTGGGACTCAGAGATCTACCTGCCTCTGCCTCCCAGAGCGCTGGGGATAAAGGCGTGTGCCACTGCACCTGGCTCAATAGACTTTTTAAAGAGAGAAGAATGGACTTAAAGCTGGATAGAAAAGTAGGGGAAAGAGATGAATAGGATCAAAACACATTGAATGAAATTCTCAAAGAATTAACAAAAAATTTACTAAAAATATTCCCTTCATACTTAAGATGCTCAAGGCCTGGCTTCTCACCAATCCAATCACTTCAGAAAAGCACTTTAAGGGGCAGGGGAAATAAATGGCTCAGTAGATAAAGCATTAAGACTATAATAGTTGAGATGCTCAGCACCCACAGCAAATGCCATCGGCATCTGCCTGTAATAGCCCATCTGTAACACCCATGCCAGGAAGACTGAGGCAGGAGATCCCTCCAGCAACTCAGTTAGCTGGACCAGCAGAATGTGCAAGCTCTGGGTTTAGGTGAGAGCCCCTGCCCCAACATGCATAAGGTGGACAGGAATTGAGAAAGCCTCCAAAGCCAACCGCTAGCCTCCATAAGACTGCGCACAGATATGTGTGCATACCCACACAGGTATGCGCAAACAGGGAAGGGAGGGAGGGAAGAGAAAAGGAAGTGGGGAAGAAGGAAGAAAGGGGTGTTTTACATAAAACATCCGAGATAAAACACAGAACCTCATTCCACTACTGAGTCAAGTGTTATACATCAGCAGGCGCTGTCTGTTTACTGGGAGTGCTCAGCCCTGTGTAAACAGAGCTTTCTGGCTTTTCCAGGCCCCAGCTTAAAACACAAAAAAATCAAGGCTTTGCTGAATCAACCTGGGTCATGAAATCAACCATTTTCCTTCCTTCTCCTGCTCCACAGGCTGCCTCACAGAATCTATTCAGGTGCCCTGACTCAGGCCTCACGTCTCCAAGAACAGAGGTCAGACATTCCAAGAGAGAACAAGCAGATGGAAAAATCTAGAAAGGCTCAGTTGGAAGGTTCAAAACAAGTAAGATCTCAGTTCTAAAGGAACAGCCAATGCTCCTTACTGAAAGGTCCTTTCCAGCTGAGGCCTACACCATGCCAAGCTCATGTGCTTACAGTCCCCACATACATGGGACTCACTGTGTCCCTGGCTCTTTCTATACAATTCTTTCTTACAATGCCCTTTTCTTTCTTTTCCTACCCGAATCTAAGTTATCCTTTGAGAAGCTAGCTGCAATTTCACCTTAGTGAATTTCTCTAGTGTGAAATTTCTCCTTTTCACTTGAAATATGGACCAAGGAACCACACAAATCATCTGAGTGTTTGTTAGAGTACTTGCCCAGCATTCACAGGTCCTAGGTTCAATCCCCAGCCAGGGAGGGAAAGAAAAGCACTCCAACTCACTAACTCAGAATCTGACTCTTTAAAAACGTTTTATTTTATTTTATGTGCATTGGTGTTTTGCCTGTGTGTATGTCTGTGTGAGGGTGTCAGGTTACCTGGAACTGGATTACAGACAGTTGTGAGCTGCCAAATAGGTGCCAGAAATTGAACCTGGGCCTTGTGGAAGAGCAGCCAAAGCTCTTATCTGCTGAGCCATCTCTCTCCAGCCCCTAGACGCTCTTACCAAAACCTCCAGGTGATTGTTATAAACGTGAAATTTGAGAAACCCTGTTTTTGAACATTCATTTACAGTATCATGTTATCTTAGACATGCTTTCCAAATCATCTAACTGCTTAAGGCCACCAACCCAGTGCAGGCAAGAAATCGAGGGCTCAGAACTTAGGAAGGCACTCCGTCTCAGGCACTGACGCTGTGTGTGGATGCCTGAGTGCTCTCTTAAGTTTGTGAACTAGCATCTTGAATGCCTCACCCCAGTTCTGGCTTGGCCTTGCACCTCTCCGATATAACAGGGAGATGCCGCAGAGCCCAATCACACTTTACGCTGCTCTCGTCTAAGGAGAACAGCACAGGACTAAGCAGTCAGTGAATACTCAGAAGCTGAGAAAAATCCTCTCCCATAATGTAAGTAGGTAACAGACCAGCACAACCACTGGACATGCGGAAACAAGGGAGCATACCACCATTGAAAATGCCTAGTAAGTATTCATGGAAGGAATATGCATGATGCCAGAAAACATCTAGACAAATCATATTTAAGAACGCTATGTGAGGAACTGAAAGAGGTACACACTCAAGAAAGTAAGAGAACACATTGAAGGGCACTCTGAATATACAGAGGACAGAGCAGGCACGGAGCAGGCACGGAGCAGGCACGGAGGTGTCTCAGAGTGCAGAATGCTTGTTACTATGTATGTCTCACCTCCACTATCTGAAAAACAGAGTAAGACCTTCGACTCCTCCAGACAGCTGAGGAACTACTCTGACAATGAGCTGTCTTTCCTCCAGGAGGAGTGGGCATACTGTAAACTAACAGAAGAGGCTGGGGAACGCAAGCTGGTGAAGCCAGTAATGCTTCCAGAGCTAACGGGGAAAGAGAGCAGAAGGGTAAGCCCCAACGCTGGGCCTAGATTAGGGGCTTACAGAATCAATAGCACATCACAAAGCAGTATAGCTGTTAAGAGTAGCATATGATCTGGCTTTAATATTTATGTCCAGAACCAAAATGTTACTTAAGCTACACTTAAACCAGTCTTCTGGTTCAAGCGGAAAAACAAGGAAAGCTGTAAACTACAGCTGTAATTAACCTGCACCATCTGGAACGACATCTTTATTTGGAACCTCATTAAAGGAGTTTATTCATCTAGGGTCAGGCACTAACCCAATCTGAAGGTTCCTTGTCTGAAGCTCAGGTGGATAATTAGGCAGGCTCTCAGGGCAAAGGTAGTAACTGATGGTCCCATAA